TGCGGGGTTTTGAATTGTCCGTTATATAGTTCTTGTTGTCATTGTCATTTCAAGTTCCATTTTGAGTGCTCTGGCATTGCTTATCTTGTAGGATACAGGTCGAACAGTTTGACGCCCTACACTTATTTTCGGTTGTTTACGTCTTCAAACAGACTGATAAAGTAGCGATTAACTGCCGCTTCCGATAAATCAGTGAGCACTTCCGTATGCTGCATGCACCGCATTTCGTAGGTTTACTGTCGTAAGAAGACAATTCCTGTGGGTTCCANGATCAATAAAAATCAGCACTAGGTTTCTTGCTTCAGTGATACATAGTATTCAAATAGTACCATCACCACGTGTAACTAACACTTTACCATATTCCACCCTTTTGAGTCATTCCGTTCTATCAAAGACGTTTATACTAACTGTTTGACATCGAGCTTTCCAATGGCTGGCTTCAGATGATTGCACTGCCGTCGAAATTGCTCTTGATGGTTTTCACGATAACTCGTGTTAAACACTCAGAGGAGTTTGGTTGTTCAAAAAAATCGCTTATAAATTTAGTCATAAATTCATACTGCAAATTTTATTTCTTATCCACCCGGCACATTACTACTTGCCATGAGTTTAATAGCTCATTAACACTGCCGCTAAATGAATTAGTGACAAGAAATGCTGGACAGAACTCAGTCACTAGAGCGGACCTTAATTGTTTTTTCTCGTTTCAACAGCTCGTGGCGAACACAGATGCTTCACAGATTCTCCAGTCCCAAGTTTTCATTCCTCTGCGGTTGCTGGCGACTCGCATCACAAGTGAGTACATGTTCGATAGTGGATAGACATCCATTTCCGTGAACGTTATAAAAGTAATGCGGTTTTTTCATATAAGAAGTTTTGCTTTTGCTCCCTTTTGGCATTTTGTTTGTGCATCGTACTGTTTCACAAGATTCTGAACTAAGGGTTCCATGACATAAGTTGTAAGAATATGATGAAACAATGTGGTACAACTGTAATATATGGGTCTAAGTGGCAAATTCTACCCCCTCGATTTCATTTCTCGTCTATTAATGAAGTCCTTTTTCCGGTTATGGCCGGTCAGTTCTAGCTAAAAAGTAGTAATCTACTGGCAGCGAACTTGAGTTCCCTAAAATTTTTTGTTCACAGTTCACGTTAGCATTCTTGAAGTTGCTCTTCTCGAAGGAACGTTTTGTATGGTTAGTGTTTTGCTCGATAAAAGACCCACTGCGAGGGAGACGCTCACAATGATAAACGGTTTCGTCCTTTTACATCTCAACAGGAACCTGTACAGGATGCAAATTGCGCTGAGCATAATTGACGAAATGGTTGCCGAAGCTGTAGTAGAAGCTTCATCATCCCATGTCACGTAATAAATGTATTATTGGTATTGATGTCCCACAGCAGCCAGTTACAGCTTAAAATGCGATGGAAACAATGAACATTACATGGGGTGTACAGAACTGGTTCTCACCAGGCGCGTTCCACGAAGGAATTTTCTTATGAGGTTCTGTCTGATGTCTGTGGCCTATCGAAGTTGACCGAAAGCAATCGAAATCAGCTTATGGGATCCGGTCTTTCGTAGAGCCAGACGGTCTTTATAAATATCACTGATGTTGATTACGCTGAATCAATACCCGGCTGTCTCTTCACACTAAATGCTTTACTTTTGCTACCCTATTTTTCACGTTAGTTGTTCTTAATCCAACACGATTCTGATAAATTGCGCATAACTGGAATCCCCTGATCGCCAAAGCTTTTGGGTAGTATAAAGCATGGTGTTTTCGTCCTCATTATTGCTGTAATCCTTAGGATGTAGATTACACCGTTCGTGATCCTGTTTTGATGATGAATGACATCATCTAAACTACCTGCGCTTTTGTAATTTATCTGCTTCAAAGAGGAATCTGCTGTCTCATATTTGTTGTAACAACTAGCTGATCGGTTTCGTTCTGAACATGATTCTATGGTCGTCATTTGGATAGAACCACTCGCGTGCACAGTGCGTATAAAAAAGCACAAGGGATCACCCACTCAAAAACTGCTATAATGAGACAAGGCTGCGTTGATTATCTGGAATTTAGATTTATAACGATAATAGGGTAGATTCGTTTGTGAAGAAAGCAGAACGGTTATGCGATATTACACTCAGGTCCGTCTGAGTGTAGTGTACTTTGAGTTGTCTTCGGGAACTTTTTGATTTCATTTTCACATGCCTGAGTTCAGACTGCCCAACAAATCACGGTGCCATAATCTTTATAAAAAGAAAAAGGTCCGTGATTTACTCGTGGACGCGATACCGCTTAGGCAATTCATAACCGTAGCCTTTGGCTGACCAAAGCCTGAGTCGCAAGGTACCAGGCCGTGTGTGTAAACCGCAATCTATCGGGGGCCAGATCACACCCTTTGGATGAGGTCAAATCTCCAATGTTGCCTTAAAATCAGGACTTGTAGTCAACTCCCATAAGTGAACTGCCAGTGATTCATCGGACCGGTTATAGCCCCGACTAAGTGAGAAGGGAATTTGGGCTTCAAAAATCTTATGACTTCTAATTGTTTGACCTTGTTGTTAAAACGCTGAGTGATATCCGGTGGGTCTCGTAAATATGATTATTTTGGATTGAGAGGGAGAACCAGACAGATGGGGAAAAGGGTTTGCAAAATGGGTGCCTAAGACTTCAGAGAACGAAGTACTTCGCGAAAGCCCACACCGACGAAGAGTTTTTTCNTAACCAGAGCATTCGACTCAAAAGTCTGACCCAAAAGGCAGCGTTAGTGTGTGGGTCACTCCCGAGAAACCTCATCCCTACTTTCAACCTTCCTGTATTTCTTCTCTTGTTCATCCAACTGGACAGCCAAAGACAGCAACCAAAACCGGCGCACGAAAGTATATAATTAATAGTGGTTCGAATTGAAACTGGAACTTAAAGCTCCGTATACTGGATTTTTTCGAGTTCTGACTTTCGTCGGAAAGCAGTAAGTAGAGCTTCCTCAGCACAAACCGTTTGAGAGCATTTCGCGAGGTGATTAGACGCACGAGCGCAATTGTTTGTGATACTCAAGCAGATCACTCAGTATCTAACAGTCGGCTAGGAGTCTATCCTTGCTGAGAGAGATGTCTTTGAGGCGAACCGGGAACCTCCAAAATTGCTTCTGAATCTAGACTGCTGACATAGAGTACCTTGAAAGTGGATTAATCTGATCAATGAATAGCTGTCATATTTTTGTTAACACCAGTATACCGTATCTCACACGCGTCCGAATCCAGGCCGTGTGGTAAACACGTCATAATACCGCAATATTTATAACAATCAATCAATCCTTGGTTCCTTAGCGAGCCCAATAATTCCAGGTCACCCGCGCCGGAGCAGGTAGATTTTCTTAAGGATTCAAACATGGCGCCTTTGGCAAGCCCAAATCTGACTCACAAGCCAGTAGGGCGGTGTAAAAACCACAATCGATTGTGGTACGATACCTAGTTGATCATATACGCCACTCGGACGGGGCCGAATGTCCACACACTGGTGTTAGCTCGCTCATGGTGATGAGTTTTAGCCATCTTTTGCTTTGTTCATTCGTCCCTCGCAGTCATGAATTTCCTGCCGGTATGCGAGACTAATTCGGATGCTCACCGCTGATGTTTGAATTCCAAGGTGCCTACTATAACATGGCATTGCTTCAAATGTTTTTGATGTGCTCGCTAAACATTCGACTCGAGTGCCATATACACTTAGTTGACATTTTTTGGTTTTCTGCCAACAGACTGCAGGCGAACGGTCAGCTCCTGGATGAATGCGGACAAGGGTCTACGCAGTCACGTTTTGGGACTGTTATATCCCCCTGTCCCGATGGCAGCGTTCCACCATGTTCACATTCCGTCTCAAACTCGACGGCGTCGCAGGAAACCAATGTTCCTCATATCCTCACACCTAATTCAGGAAATGCGGTTTCTATTCAACCTGTTGGTCTAGGGCGCTTGGCTGAGAAACAGACTCCTTCCCCCGTTGATCGACTACTAGAGGACAAATGCTTGACAAGAATTAACAAAATTCTCAGTAGCTCTGAAGCGCTCCAGTTTTTGGATCCTACGATTGCTTCGAGATATATGGACAAAACAGTCGAGCGATTGGAGCACGACGTGAGTCTAGTATTTAATTGAGGATTTCATATGATTATTCTGGATGCGTTTCAATGGGCCGTAGATTTGTTCGTGGATTGTTTTTGTTAATTTCCGTTTCGTCGTTTAATCGTACAGATCATTTTTGTTTTCCCCATTCACCTGACGCTTTTTTATATTATGAACTGGGCAGTGATTACCCGGTTTGCGTCACCGTGTCTGACTGTGATGGTGTTGGTGTTGATGATAGAGGTGGCTCAAGAGGTTCTGGAGTTTTAACTATTATTGGGTGCATGCAGAACCCATTCCCTAGTTTCATAATTGTACAAACGGTCGGTTCTCACTGGAGAATGGTAATGTCTAACAAGTGCAACGTTTACAAAAGTATTCTCAACTGGTTCTCTAAGTTTTGGGTCTTGTTATTATTCGAGTATTTGAACATGACGCTGTAACGCGAATAGGTGCGTAAAGTTTAGGATCGTTTTTCGGCGATTTTTTTGCGCTCTAGGAACCACGATTGGCACTCTGACGCCAGCACCCAACTTCGGTGGTATATATATATATATATATATATATATATATATTTCACACCCCAAACTGTGTGCCAGACAAATCATGGCAATAATATGTATAGAAAGAAAAACGTTCCATAATCTGCATGTGGGCTGAATACTGCCAGGTTACGCAGGCCAAGGCAGTTGAATTTTCTTGGGGACTCCACAACCGGAGCCTTCGGCTAACTAAAACCTAACCCGTAAGGCAGCGGGGTGGTGTGTGAACACCGCAATCCATTGGGAAGCTGGTGTCCAGTTCATCGGATCATACACCCTTTGGACGGGGTCGAATGTCCAAAGTGCCCAATACACATCAATTCTTGATTGAGCCAGTGACAGCTTTTGCACCTGAATTCATCACGGAAAGTGGTGTTCGTCAGGGTTGCCTTCTCCTTTTCTGTTCTGTTGGCGTTTGCCAACTTGAGACATCTGTGGCGCCGTTCTAACATCCAGTTGTCTGTGAAGGGTCGAGTATATGCTGCAGCAGTTCGGCCAATTCTGCTGTGCGACGCAGAAACTTGACCATTAAGAAAACATGTAAGGATAGACTGTCAGTGTTTGAACACTGCTGTCTACACAGCTGTGCACGAGTCTGGTGGATAACCGGACGAGCAATGCTGAGGTTAGGCGTGGAGTTTTAGGTAATGGTGATCGCTCACTAGAACGAGTAGATTACGTTGTTTGGGACATGTGTTACGCATGCCACCAGATGGGTTGCCACGGCGAGCGATGTTTGCCGAGGCAGGTAGAGGTTGAAAAAAATGAAGAGCGGTCAAGCTAAGACCTGGCACGATGGTATGAAAACCCTACCCAGGCTACTGGGTCACAGATCCATTCAGGCTCCCTGGCTGGGGACCTCGGAACGATCGTAACCGATGGTTGGAGACCGAGTGATATGGCTGAGTGTCGTAAGTAGTGGCGTTCGTGCAGCTCAATTTCTTTGCAACCTTAGTCCATTCTCTGTTCGTTTCCACTCTCAATTTCCCTGTCTTTCTCCCACTTTTCATCCAGATGGGCAGCCGAAGGGCAGCATGCAAAAGTGCATGGGTAATGGTTGTAATAACTGAACCGGTCATTCTCCCCGTACACCTCGCGAAATGCTCCTATAAATTGCTTAACGTCACCCGGTAGCTTTTGCTTTTGTCTTCACGTGACGACATTTCACCGCTAGAGTCAAAGGACAAAACGCGACCATCCGGAGCCTTAACCAGGTTGGTGACCTACTGGCGGTTCACTCGGGAAAGTTAACTAGAAATATTGATTCCTGACCGACTGGGAAGAGACGTGTGGGTAATTCCCACGTCGATCTGATACCGCGGTGCATTGGGTACCTTAAACGTTGACCCTCTCCGTGGGGCGTATGATCCGACGAACGTGGTACCGACCCCCAACGGGTTGCGGCTTTCACGCAACTCGCTGGTTTACAGG